AAAAGCAAAGAAACTAGTTCTCCCATCATATGCTGGAGCTACCTTTGTGGTCATTTGTTGCGTCATGTGAATCTGCGTCTGCTGGGGTGCTCTTCTCATTGCATAAGAGTCATATTTGGTTCCATCCATCTGCATCGACAATGTCGAAGTCATCATCATCATAGCCATGGCGTGCCATTGCTTGGGCTCTACCTGGAGCTCACCCTCAATGAGGGATCACAGCTCCGCTACCACTTGAAGAGGGGCCATAGCGTCTACTTCAAGATCAGCTAGGGCGTCTTCCCCCCATGACAGCACTGTTTTACTCCCAGTGCACTTGGATTGTTGGGAATTTGCAAAGAAGAATCTTGAACTTGTTGGCTGAATTTCATACCAGAGTCCACTGCTGGGCTGTGAGTCAACATATCTGCAAAATGCTTCAACTGCTCGTCGAGAGCCCATAGCTCTTGTGCATCCAAGATCCAGGATACATACAGTTGGTGGTGCAGAATTCTCTGTGTGAAAAGCTAATCCTTTCTCACATGCCAGATCAGTCTGTACAGTATGAAATGAAAAAGCACTCTGATGCTCATCTGATTCCTTTGTCTCTGCAAAGCATTCAGAATGAGATGGTACCTCTGTCTCTGCAGAGCCTCCATATGAAAACAATGATGTGCCTTTTGCCAACGGCTTCCATGAAGCCTCACCTTCTTGTAGGCCAACTTGCCTGGGCACACGAGCTGGATGTCGTTGTACACCTTGTCGAAGTGCATCAAGATCTCCAACCAGAACAGGGAACTTCTTGAGTCCTTCTCTGTTATGCTGTGCTGTTGCATCACGTTGGTTCTGTCCTCCACGACGGGTGCGTCGATGTACTTCTTGTTCTGCATACGTGGATGCCAAAACATCAACACGTGCTGGTTCAGTCTCTGCAAACGCAAAGAAACCATGACCAGAGCTTGATGCAGCAGAAGAGTAATGAGCTTGTTGCTGTTGTTGATTCTGTATGGCAGGAGTTGATGTGGTCTGAGGTTGAACATAGTTTGACTTGCCTTTTCCATCTCCTGGCTTTCCTCCTTTGCCATCATCATCCTTGCCTTTCTTGCCTTTCTTTCCTTTTCCTCATTTTGGCATCATTCGGGTTCCAGTTTTCAGTTTTCCAGAGGCTCAGCAAATTCGAGGTACTGGTGATGTAATGGAAATCAATGGAATATACACCCATATTTGTGTGGCATATTGTGGCATAGTCTGCGGCATAGTACTTCCATCCATGACGTAATATGTGTACTCCCCCATGAGAAATCCATATCCCTAATTACATAACTGGGGACAATGCAGGAAATAACTTATCAGAATTTTCGGGTGTCACTCAAGCAAATGAAAAAGAATGGGCTATGTTGTGTTCAAATCCCTTGGTCACCTGAAGCAAGGTGGCTTGAAAACTCAAGCATCCTGGATGTTTGGGACCAGAATCTTTTGCCAGGGGTGAGTCAGGTACCGAAGGGACAACATCATTTAGCATGGAAGAAGGCCAAAGATTCAGGATAGCCTTCGACGCTTCGAAAAAAAGATGGACGCGAGGTTTGACACATGTTGAAACCAGCCCAAATCTTGTTGTTCTATGTTGTTGTGCTATCTTTGCTATCATAGCTATCTCCATCTCTTACCGTAAGTGAACCTGACTGGAAGCAAGCTCCCCATTTCAGGAAAATATCACCTGTGTCATCAGATGGGTGATGTTAAAATATGTTAGCTGTTAGCATGTTTCCCGCAGAACAGGAGTGCTCCCCAACTACCAGGGGGGCTTTCAAACGCGCCAGGCCTTTGGGAATGGAAGGTTGGTCCGACTGGATCCTGACTCCGCAGGTCATGATTCGGTTGAAGTTCAAATGACTAACAGTGCTAGTTCTTAGTAAAAAAAAACATGAGGTCACTTTAACACAACTTAACAGGAACTTAAGATAAAGCTACAAGTTAGTGTTAAAGTTACTCCACCACGAGTGATGTGTGGTAAAATTACTACTATGTCCAATATATTATACTTTGAGGCGGACATTAAAGGTCGTTGAAACATTTTGAAACCACCAATCAGAAACTACGAGCACCAGCATACAGGTTTCCATGAAGAAAGCAGAATTTGGGTCGCAAATTTAGGATGAAAATGCCCTAAATCATCCATTATTTCTGGCAATTCGTTGCAAAAAATGACTCAGTCGAATGGGTCTTACCCGGTAAACGGTGGCAGAGATCCACCTGGTTGATGGTTCCCCGAAAAAACTCCCAAAAAGCCCTCTGGTAATGACTAACGTAGCTATTGGAACTGGCCATAGAAATAGTTGATTTACCCATTAAAAATGGTGATTTTCCATAGCTATGCTAGTTTACCAGAGGGTATTTGCAGTGTTTCATAGTTACCAATAGCTTCCAACTGGCGCAGGATTTCGCTTCCAACTGGCATCTTAGGGAAATTTTGATGTATTTTGATGTATTTTCTCCAAAAAGCTGGGGTTAGAATGGGTTTACCCATGGGTTTCCAATCGCTGCGTCCCAGGCACACTTTGAGATTCTGCTCCATATGGGCTTTCAAACGTATCCCCGCACTGTCCACCGTGGCATGACGCTGTAGGCCATACCTCCGTCCCAGCCCAGGTGATTTTTGGATGGAAATTCTATGAATGTGTACAGTATATGTGTATGCATATGTATAATGTATGTATAATGTATGTATAATGTATGTATATGTACAGTATGTATGGATGGATGGATGTATGTATGTATGTGTCTGTACGTACCCTCCGGCTATTTAGCATAGCTATGGAAGCCATTGCCCATTTAGTTCGATGATACAAGTTCGATGATTTACCTTTATGATGAAAATGGTGATGTTCCATACTTATGTTCAATTACCAGAGGGTATATGTGGGATTTATGGGACATTTTGAATGGGAAGATATTCTTAATTGGAATGGGTATGATATACAATCCCTTTCCCTGTTCATATTATGTTTTCTGTGGCGAAAAGTAGGAGATGCAATCACACATGTAAAATACATATATATATGTATATATATATATATATTTGTATATATATACATTATATATATATACATTATATATATACACATTATATATATATGTATACATACACCAACAATCACCAACATATATGGCTATGGGTCAACACCCGTGTAATCTGAACCCCCAAAATGGCTGGGATCGGTGTCCATCCGCTCTATGCTTTTGTAGGCGCCCCCGTCTCCATAGGATTCCATGGTGGCGCAAGAACGGCGTATCAACTGTAACATGCGTTCATTTTTACACTATGGTGAAGCCAGGTCAAATCAAGGCGCTCTTCCTGAAAAAACTGTTTGGTTGACATCAAAACTGGCGTTCAGAGTTTCATTCAAAACAGATCAAAATAGAAAGTTGCTTTTAATATAGTGTACCTCATTCTATCCATTGATAATCTTCCTCATGAAATGGCCATGGGTATACCACATTCCCAAACAAACTCAGACTCAAGTAAGAAACCGCTAAAGTAGAAGGGAGTTGATACCTGTCACCTGATTCTGGCGTTGTGAAGTGCCAATCTTCCAACCAGAGCCGGACCAAACAACACATCTCTTGTAGTCCAGAATCCTTTACACAAATCAAATGATCGTTTGGAAACGAATCACAGTGTAACTGGTTGGTGGTTTCAGCCCCTCTGAAAAATATGAAAGTCAGTTGGGATTATTACATTCCCAACTGAATGGAAAGTCATAATCCATTCATGTTCCAAACCACCAAGCAGGTCCAAGTTTAGGTCGTAGCTCAGCCAATTAACCTCTTGAAAACTTGCTCTCGGAACTCCAACAATGGAGACTGAGAGATGATCTACCATTTAACATGAACAGATTGGTTCATGGCATATTTTACAGGAAACCATGGGTTTTAACCCAAATTGTTGGGGTATTCGGGTATTCCTGCAGATTTTCCGTTCAGTCAATTCTTGGATTTCAGGGCGTTCCATCCCCATCAACCGGCGAAAATATTCCCGTCCGATCAGTGTTCAACACCCAAATTGTCGTCCCTTGCTGCGCGAGTTGGTGAATAGGAATTCCGATCACGGATTATGATTATACCAAATTCCCCAATCTATAAAGGGAACAGGGCATTAGCAGCCACTGCACATCTATGATTGGATGGTTTCCTTAAACCGACTCAGTACAAATACGGCCAGCACTTGTGATATGTCCCAAAGTCTTTCGGGATAATTGTCGGAACCCTCATTTTGGTGACCCTTACAGTACTTTGTGTACTTTGTGGTTTTTATCTTTAAGGGTCACCCTTATCAGATACTTTCTAGTTATCATTTGAGTATCTGATAACTAGATGGCTCTGGGTTTGCGAACCCAAAGATGTCGTTGATGACCCTCTGCGGTGAATTTGCCACCCAAAACTGGTTTTTGTCACTTTTGACATGAACCCTTTAAAAGACCCAAGAAAAACCCTAAGATAAACCCTAAGAAAACAACCTAAAACGAAACCCTAAAGAAACGCTGAAAAAACAAACTATATGAAAGTGTATATAGTGAAGTACCTGTGGGGCGTAGCATTCGTGCTGCGGGTACAAATAGTCCCATTATCATTACGCTCTAGTAAACTGACATAGCCGCAGCCATGGAAGATCATCCTGTTCATTTAATATGTAAATCATCGAAATAATGGCTTGTGGCTTCCGTAGCTACGAGTATGTTAGATTACCAGAGGCTACATGCCTTGACAGTTTCATTTGACGCGAATTGGAACTTGAAATTCTCCCCAGTGTCCTGCAGGATAGTGAATTTACCCAGATTGTATCCATTACAATCCCCAATAGTAGATACACTCTGAATCCAGTATTCTGATGATTGGGGATTACCCTGAATTCCTAGTTCCATCTAGTTCCTCATTCTACTATGATTACCATGTATCCATTACTAGTGTAATCATAGTAGACCTGAGAAAAAGATGCCTTGGGCCAAGTCACGGCTTTTGCGTCACGGAGAGCGCCTCAGCGGGGTTTCTAGTCCATCCGTTCAGCTCGGTACTCTGGTTTTTCCATCCAAAAAATCCACGAACATATGCCATATTATGCCATACGATGCGGGTTTTCCAAAATGGTGGTACCCAAAAATCATCCAAAATTAAAGCATTTTAGTATTGAAACCTATGGTTTTCAGGATCCACCATTTTCAGAAACCAAAAAAGGGTCACATCGCCAGAGTGGACTTCGCAGTCGCGTTGTTGGGATGGAGATACAGTGGAGGTGACTTAGTAAATCCAAAGAAATCCCAGGATCTTCCATGAACATGTACTGCTTGGTGGTGTACCTACCCCTCTGAAAAAAATGAGTTCGTCAAATGGGATTATTGTTCCCAATATATACATATATATATATATATAATCCATTCATGTAACCACCAAGAAGTGTATTACTAAGCCTATGGATCCAGCCGTACCCTCTCAGGAAGGACTCGGGGTATGATGACTAGGGATGACTAGTTTTTTTTTTGGACCTCCTCAAACGGCCATGGATCCATAGGGCCGTACTAAGCTTGGTGAACGATCCGACCACTGAGCCCCCCCCTGCGGCCAAGTACATCTGCGAAAACTTTGGCATAAAAACCTCGGAGGACGGAAGAAGCGAGAGGGTCAACTATGATATAACATGATATAAATTAGATATAATCGTGTGACCATGTGAATTTCATATCACATATAAAAATATGAATATACATAATACTTATATATATAAATATGTGGAGTGGGTGTTGATCAAAATAAAAGGTATCTGGGTACAATCGCCGATCAAGCGCGAATCAACCGCGATCCCAAAGGTGCCAACCACGGGAGGGTTCTGTCGTATTGCGAAACTATTTGGCGTGAGCCAGGGCCTACTCAGGCGGGCTTAGCAATCGCGGAGCAATCACGGACCAAACGCGGATTTCATCGACATTTTTTTGAAAATTGAATTGATCTGGGTTGTAAGACTTTGAACTTGTTGTTCTGATTCTTCTTTGTTATTGGCTATCACTGTTGAACACAGTGTCTAGGCAGACCCGAATAGAGTAAAAGGCTGAAATGTAACATAATTATCATGCCATCAATTGCCATCATATTAAAATATGGGTATGGGTCAAAATTAGGTACCCCAAAATTATGGATGGTGAATACTAAACTAGACATTCACATCTGTGGTCCCATTAATGGTCTTCCATTTTGACCCACATCCATATAACCTTTTGATTTCTCCTCTTACAACAGTCAATCCTTCTACAACAAATCTTTGTCGCAAGGGCGAACTTCAATCGCCGATTCATCGCGACGCAGTGCCTTCTCATAATTCTTAGACTTGCATATGCGATCGGCTCCCATATGTATATATATAATATATATATATGGTGTATCATGGAATGTATCTGCGCCATCAACTTTGATTATGTAAAAACGACTCATAGCCTGGGCTCTTCGGGTTGCCATCAGCTTTCAATGACATCTCCATAGATCTCCATGGCTGGTGGGTCAAAACATGTTGAAACCCATGTTTGATATTTAAACATGGGAATGATGTGCCCATGCAGTGACTAATCACCAAGGATTCTGTTTGCTGCACATGCCTAATCTTAGATAGCCTGCAGACACATATCCGTTTAGTATCTTTGTAGCCGCTGAGTACATTAGTGCTGTACTAATCTACCCATCACCAGCGGGTTGACCTGACCATGATCCTTCAATCCCCAATCGGTCGTTGGTAAAACCAGTATGTTCGATGCCAAAAACCATCAGTTATAGTAATAATTATTGCCACTACCTGGGCTGCTCGACAAAGCCAAAGCCGTCGATGGGAGGTCCAAAGCCAGGCCAGAAGGGTGGCGCGCGCGAGCGCGTGGTGGCCTCGAGCAGTCGTCCAAACTCTGGAAGACCATGGAAGACCATGAATTCTATGGTGAATTCTATGATTTGTGGATGTTCATGGTATATCGAACTGTAGTATACTATAGTTACATATTAAAGTAGCATATAGTAGCATTTAGTAGCTGGCTACAACCGGTGGCTCATCAGGCTTAGTTTCAGCAGGTTTTCATAACCCAAGTTGTTGATCTTGGAGCTGGATTCACCCTTTTCACTGATCCCAATTTTGGCAGGGATTAGTAAGCCATAGCTATAAGTACCCTCTGGTTATGTCAAAATAGCTATTGAAAATCACCATTTTTAATGGGAAAACTCACTATAAATGGCTCTGGTTATGACTAACATAGCTATTGAAAATGACCCAGTCGAAATAGTGGATATTTTCCCATTAAAACTATGGTGGATCTTTCCAGTTCGTTATGTCAACGTTTACCAGGCCGGGTCAGTGGGATGAGCGAAGTATTCCCACCTGGGGCCCCCGGCATAGCTCTCCAAACTGCGATGCGCCAAGCTGGTGATGGTCAGCCCCGCATGATGTCCCATAAACTCCTCTCGCGCAAAGATGAGAGAAACCAAGAAAGGTCAGAAAAATCGGTTTTCACAATTTTTTAACCAACTATGGTATAATATTTGGCCACCAAAAATGGGTTTAATATGGTATAATATGGTATAATTATGGTATAATATGGTATAACTATGGTATAATAATGTGGTATAATATGGTCCAATAATTGGCCAGAAATAGGTGTATCATATTAGGTATCATAACAAGATGCGGAGGATCATCTAAGTACTGTACCCACCAAAAAAAAACATTTTACGCCACAATCTTGCTATTTTTACAGTTTCTTAGTGGTATTTGGAGGGTCTCGGAATATATGTACATATGCATCCTGGAGTAGATCGAATATTGGATATTCTCAGTTTAGCGTTTTTTAAATTCCATATTCTATCTACTGAGATGATTAGATATCATGAGTTAGTTCGATAAATAAAAAGATACCGTACTATGTATCATCAATATAAGCACCCATGAAAAATAATCTTTTAAATGAATAGTAAGTAGCTTGAGTGGCAATTTGCATGTACAGATGGAGAAGCACCAGTAAATGACTAGTAAGATTGGCAAGAATTTGCCTAATGATTTATATAAGATTCATTTATACTTGCTGATGGCTTCGCAGTTCTCATGATAATGCTCCTGAAAAATAGGAAAATCATTGGGAATCATCATCCTGTTTCGATGATTGAACATAAACATATAGTTGAAACCACCAATCAGATCCAAGCAGTGTATGTTCTAGTTGTACAATGTGTGTCAATATGGGGGTTTCCTACAACGGGGGTACCCGAGAATGGAAGGCTTTTAATGGAACATCCTATTAAATTGGATGATTTAGGAGTACCCCCATTTTAGGAAACCTTTATAAATTGAAGCACCCATTGAGTTGCTGAATACTCCAACTTGGACCCCATTCCCTGCTCTTGGCCAATGTGCTGCAGATATGAAAGTAGAAGAAGCTACACCGCATGCGTGAGTCATGTGAGGTTCTGCCCAACTCGGTTTCAGACAGCCTTTTGGTATTTTCTTGGTATTATGATTGTACTGCCTGGCTGTTTTGTAGGCGTTCCCATGATGCGTCACACTAAGACCTCTGTACAACCAGTTAATTAGCAGTTTGATAACCACCATCATAATAACCATAATCATGACAATATAAAATAAACTTTGCATTATAAGATACAAGTTAAAAAAAACAAGTCTATTTTGGGCTCTCCTCTCATTTCTGGTTTTCTTCAGGATGATTCACATCTGCCCCCATGACATTTCTGGATCCACGGATCCGTGTCCATCCTGAAGATGCATGCATCGGAATCCGAAGGTTCGTGGACCTTGCTTCGGATTGCTTCGAAATGGCCCGGATGTTTCGGGTCGATTTATTGGTAGATCTTCCAATATTTACCATCGGGTTATGACTAACATAGCGAACTGGAAAATCCAGTATATAAATGCAGGTTTTAGTGGGAAAATCATCCATAAATGGGCCATGTATACCATGGCTATGTTAAATAACCAGAGGGTAATCACTAAAATAATAGGATGTTCTAAATGCTCAAAAATGTTCAAGCTTTAATCACTTGAGGAGCCATTTTTGGGGATGGATTTTTGAGAAAATGATTTCCAAACCTGGAGTGCACATGAGAGGGGCAAGTAAAGTCATGTCTTGCCATAGCCCAAATCGGATTGGCACAAGTCTACAATGACCTTCGTTTCTTGGTCAGGTTTCAAACCCAAGATTGGTCCATTGGTCGCCAGAAATTAGTATGCTCAATTCCAAGAACCACTTTTTGGGATCAGCTCACCAAAGCAATTGGCTGGGAAATCACATAATCGGGTAATCTAAACATGGACTGGACATCATTCCGAAGGATTTTCCAGGTAGCTTACCATCGGGCCCCACAATGTCCAGCTGATCATACTTGGTGGGTCATCCTACTCCAAAAAAAGAGGATTAATCCTATATCCCATAGCATCCATGTATGCTATATATGGTAACATTTACCATCAATATACCCCCAATGTTATCATATATAGCATACATGGATCCTATGGGTATATTCATATGACGTAGAACCGACAACGGAATCTATAGCTGCTAAGTGAGATGAGCCACATTGAGCCACCCACCAAGGATTTTATTTCAAACTGATCTTGGCCAGGTAGGTCGGCAATTTTGGTATACCATACCTAGACCCTCCAAATACCAAACAGAACGTGGTAAAAGTATGTAAAAGTACTACTAAAATGATGTGGTAAAACATATTAAAGTTGTTTTTTTTTTTAAATGGGTACCAACAAAGGGTCTAGATATATAAATAACTTGCCAGTTGTTGGAATTTGGGTGACCCCTTCGCCAAAATATCCCTTCACCAAAATATCGAAGAAGTGGTGGAAAAAAACTATAACTATAGAAGGAGGTGCCCCATAGTTAGCCAAGTTGGTTTAACTAAATTATATATATATTGCAATAATTTGTAATTCAACTAGGGTTTATGGTTGATGTATCAATGGTTAACGGGTGATATTTTACACACTTATGATTGGGGGCACCACCTTGCAGACTTCTAGAGGTTCAACATGGTTTCGGGTGAAACAACTTGGTTTCTTGGGGATTTACCAATGTTTGTCATTAATCAATTGGAGGTAACCGACGATTTCAACCCCAAGAAACCATACACAAGGTGGGTCTAGCTAAGTAGGTTTATTACCCCCAGAAAAACTAATTATTATTAACTATCATGTTATATCCCCTATAAACCCACGAGTCGACCAAGTGGTGAACATCACTTGCTTAAGTCTGGGGATCTCTTGGGTTTATAGGGGATATAACATGATATAACTATAGGTCAATGGTGGTTATAAACCAACTCAGCTACGGAACTTGCAGGGATTGCCCAGCACCCGGAAGCTGCCAGGACCCCCCAGGGCGCCGTGCCCAGCAACAATCCCCGCAGGCTCATGGGCTTGGGAGATCGCGCTCGAGCGATGTGGAGCCGCGTGTCGGTGATGGCCAACCTGAGCTCATCCGTGGGGAAGTAGCGAGACTTCTAAGCCACCTGTTGAGTCAGGGTGAAGCCACCTGTTAAAGGTGAAGCACCACTAGTTGTTTGCCAGTAGTCATTTGTATGAATCTGTCACATGGCTGTAAAATCACAAATATGTCCATTGCCAGCCGAAATTGATGGAGGCTCACCTTTTCTTGGAAGTTTTCGATGGAGGCCATGCCACAAGCTTTGAGACGTTTTCGTTCAGCAACTATTGGTTCCAACGATACTCACAACATGACGGTCAGACAGTGAAGGTCACCCAACCGTAGAGAGAATATGGCAGTTCTGATAAAACCTGGCTGAAACGATCTGCAAAATTAATTGCAAAATCGAAACGTACTGAGAATGCGTAATTCTCAGAGGAATTGTCTGAAAGATGTTTTCACTGACCACTCATGGATGGTTGCCCTTCAAAACTAAGAGAAACTATATTTGACTTCCAAGATACCCTCTGGTAAACTAACATAACTATGGAAAGATCCGCCATTTTTAATGGGGATTTCCACTATTTCTATGGCAATTTTCAATAGCTTTTTGATGCTTTTTGTATGTTTACCAGAGGGTATCATAATGAACCTCAAAGCTTGATCCAAGAATTGAAGTCCCTTGCTGAAACAAACACTGGACTATGGTACATTCCTTGCGTGCCTCATTCAACACACATGTAGTGATTTCCTTCATGGAAATCTCTAGAAGATCGGAAGATGTTTTGTGTGATCGACATGTCTCCATATAGGTTTGCCAGACATTTGTTTACCCAAAAATGTTATGATTTGCCAAGATTTTCCATATTGAAATGGCCATATCTATTAGGGCAGCCCCCCAACCCAAACGACCAGATCCGAACTTGGTCCCAAACAGGGAGGTGTAGTTGAAAGGATCCGTGAAATGGCCCACCTCATTCAACCTTAGCTTAGTCGTTTGGGATGAGAATTGAGTGAACAAAAAACACTGATCGATTGTAAAGGATAGAAGTGGGATCTGCATGGTTGTGCCAATGATAAATGGGTTATACTTATAACATCTTGTAACATCTTATAACATCTTATAACAGTTATAACATGTTCTGACTCTGGTATAACATGTAGTAACTTGGTTATGGCTATTAACGATTGACGATCTGTGGGATGATCCTGCAGACTTCTTGCCTGGTGGCGAACTACCCACGAATCATATGTTATAACCCTAGTTTTAAGATGTTATAAAGTGGATTCACCCTACTTATCCCCAACAAAAAAAACAGGGATTTTTGGGTGAGATATAAGCTATAGCTAGGATTCCTGGGATGTCTTTGAGTCCCAGAATCCTTCCAAGGATGTTTAAAGAACAACAGGAACTGACAGGATTGAGACCCCAAAAAAAAGTGACGAAAAACCGGTGGTTTTTGGTGTCGATTGGTACGTAGTGCGACTAGTTTTACTATTGATTTACGATTGATTTACTATTGATTTTACTATTGGTACTAGTCATCCCCAAATTATAATCATTCACCAACCTGAAATAAAGTTCTTGGGGATGACTTCCCCTTAACCATAATCGTTGGATATCTTTGGTAACGTCGTGGTGACGTCGTTTGAATTCAGCCAGATTGATAGCTCTTGTAGTTTGCCTCTATAAATCAAGAGTGGTGATTTGCACTTGCATCTCAGAAAGCAGAAGAGTCAGAAGAGAATATGACCCTCCAACCAGCGTGCTTCAAAAAAATACTCGGGATGATCTTGTTCTCCAACCTGAAATCTCAAGATGGTAAGGAATCAGAATCTTGACACTCCAAACCAAAGTCAAATGTCTTTGTCCATTGTGTAGCTTTAGTTTGGTCATTTGTTCATTTCCAAACCATTACTGTATATATTCTTGAGTTGCCTTTCCCATCACTTGGCCAAAATTCTTTCCATATCTTTCCATGGGATTTTCCTTCCCAAAACCTCTCATATCATGCGGCTGGGAAACTTATACAGTATAGCTCCAACTGAGTTCCTCATCTTTTTATTCCAGGAAAATTTAAATAGATCAACCATCATCAAACCATGAATCTCCCTGCAGTGCTTCCTTCGCCCAACTTCACCAGGTCACTTCCACTCCCAGATCAATTCCTCTTCATCCAAGAGCAAGTCTCGTTTCATGGAGATCCCAAAGATCTCTGCAGTTCCCAGGCAGGCCACCTGCGGAGCTGCTACCACAAAATAGCTACCAGGCAGGCTACCCGGCTACCGAACGGGGAATCCTGTCCGAAAGAAACCAAGTTAAGTTCCTCAGATTGGTTGATGTAAGCCAAAATAAACCAAAAAAAAATGTACAATAAAGTGATTTGACTCGATTTTCGCGGTACTTTTGTAGATAGAATAAAGATGTTTGTATCAACAAATATCAATAAAGATCCATAATTTCTGGCTGGTGATATTCTAATGTTGGAATTCCCAATCTTCCATTTTTTCGATCTAGCTCAAAACATGTAGCTGGCTCAATTTCATCAGGGGTATGTTTTGACAGTCACCTTGGGCTTTTTCAGAGGTACCATATCTAGTACTAAAGTAATCAGTGGGGATTGAACCTGGCAATTTAATGCAATTTAACAGATTGGGAAGTTTCTGCGAGCTCGCTCAACTGCAACGAGCTGGCTCAGCACCATCGAGCTCGCTCAATGCCACGTAGCTGGCTCAGGGGCATCGAGCTAGCTCAATGGCATCGAGCTGGCTCAATTTTTTTAGCGAAAAAAAAAAAATAAGAAAAAAAAACTCGCAGAAATTGAGCCAGCTACGTCACGTTGAGCTGGCGGACGAATGTGAGAGCATCAAAACGAATACTAGCTATGTATTGGCCGGGTTCATGACGCATTGGCGAGCCGGCTCAAGGGCATGTAGCCGGCTCAATTTCTGCGAGGTTTTTTTTTTTCTTTTTTTTTTTTTCGCTAAAAAAATTGAGCCAGCTACGTGGCGCTGAGCCAGCTACGAGGCGCTGAGCCAGCTACGTGGCATTGAGCCAGCTACGTGGCACTGAGCCAGCTACGTGGCACTGAGCCAGCAAGGTAGCTTTGAGCTTTGAGCTAGCAAGGAGGCAGTGAGCCAGCAAGGTAGCTTTGAGCTTCATCATATATATATACACCTATGCAATCCCAACCATGTAATATACTAGATCTAGGGAAAAGCAATTTTTTTGAGGGAGACACGTACCTTTGAGCTGGAGCGGGAATGTGAAATCTAACATTGTAGATATACCTACCCCTCTGAAAAATATGAGTTCGTCAGTTGGGATGATGACATTCCTAATGTATGGAAAAATAAAACATGTTCCAAACCACCAACCAGTAAAATGTCATAAACCATAGAAATTGGACTATTCTAAACCATAGATGTTTGTTATTCATAAAGATCAACAAAGATCAATAGACACCTTGTGAACTCCAGAGATTTCCGGAGCTCGCCTTTAGGCCCCTGGACTTCTTGGATTCGATGAGTTGCGCCATGGCCTCCAGGGGTGAAATTCTATGGCTTTAATGTTGTCAATATATAGCTCAAATGCTCAAATTAATGCCAAAAATAAAGCACCCTATATCAATCTATAATAATAATAAATAATATATATATATATGTATGTATATAATATTGATCACATAGTATTGACAATGGACTGTCACAGTTGTAATGTCCCCAAACGAATGGGTTTCATCGGCAAAATTGCGGGGAATCATTTATTGAAAACGTATTTAAAGGAAAAGGCCCTCGGTTTTGTTTGTTGGTTTTGAAATCCATCTAGCTATAGAATCTATAGATGTCTCCGCCATACCCTAGGTACCAGTATATTATTCACCCTAAATATTACTATGGATCCAAGTACCTTCTGAGGGTTAAGCCCCTTCTCAGGAAGTATCTGGATCCATAAGGTATTGAAATGGATTGATCAATGGGTTGTAATATCATGTACATGATACTATGTAATATCCCCAAACATGTAGAAACGTAAATCGCCATGAAAGTTCTCGAGAAAACCCTTGGTTGTCAACGCTGGATGAGCCCAACAAAGACGTGCAACATAGCTATGGAAAATCACCATGTTTCATGGGTAATCAACTATAAATGGTCATTTTCAATAGCTATGTTAAAGTCCAATTACCAGAGGGTATATGTCATGAGTCTGCATACCCCGATGTACAAAAACCAATGCCCCACCCCCAAAAAACACTTTAGGGCCTGGGAAAAGACAAAACACCATCACAAGATCATCGATCATGATGCTGCTATTGATGATGATGATGATGATGATGACGATGACGATGACGATGACGATGATGATGATGATGATGGTGATGATGATGATGATATCCCTGAAATCCTTAATCCTGAAATATCAATATCATTATGACCATAACACATATGGGGGTTGTTCAAATTCATGGTACCCCAAAACTGCCCTTACGCCGCCCTTTCGTGCCCTTTCACGCCCCAGCAGAATCGGGACAGGGAATAATGATCATGGTTTCGTGTGCATATTTGAAAATAAAAAAATATTAGAAACACAATCATCATCGAAACACTAGTATCATTATTATATATTATTATTACATACGTTACGTAACCATATCTTCAGAATAGTATTTCTTAAATTTCCTGAAATCTCGTCTTGCCTTGTGGCATACAGTGCGCGGCAGCTGCGCCTTGTATGGTACAGTCGCCTCCCCATTGGTGCGACGAATCTGCAGCAAACCGTGATCTCCTGGGCTGAAAGCCGCGATTTTTCGGGGGCCTTGAGCAGCGACCTTGTTTTTATCCTCTGTTCACTTTGTCTGTCAAGCCTTATGGTTCAAACATGTTCATACTATATCATATCATTTATTCATCTGGTTGGTGGTTTCAACCCCTCTGAAAAATATGAAAGTCAGTTGGGATGATTCTTCCCAATCATACAATTCATGTTCCAAGCCACCAACCAGTCATAGTTGATATATGTTGATATTATGGTGTTCGAGTCGTTCTGAATGTTTTTCGTATTTGATTCCTCCATGAATCAAGCAGCCGAAAGGGAAACAACGGACCGCTTCGGTTTCAACTTAAATCCAGATGGAGCTGATCTGCTTGTAGGGAGATGTAGGAGGTGTTGATTGGGGGTTGTCTGAAAATGGGGCGTACCCCCTTTTTGTTGCCATGAAACAACAGTGAACAAATGTGGTTAATCGATGGATGTCGGGGCCCATGTTCAGACAAACTTATCATTAATCATCATTAACCATCACTAACCATCATTAACCATCATTAACCATCATTAACCATCATTATATAACCATCATTAACCATCATTATATCATAGCCCTTTGTAGTGGTTGGTTTAAATTTAATCCCTTTAGATTGCCTCCGGTCTCATCAAACATGGCTGGCAAATCCTCCGTTTAGTTCGATGATATTCCCGTTCAGACTTCTATTTCGTTCGGGGATTTTCCAGCAAACCACGTTTGATGACACCAGAGAGTAATT